CAAACCCCCCCGGGGGCCGCAAAAATCCGTTATGTAAACCCTCGTGGTCGCTGTATCCCCCCGGGGGGCCCCCCCCCCCCCGCCCCGCGCGTCATCGAAGAGCGGACGCGCCGCCCGCCCGCCCGGCCGGCGCCCGAACTGATGACGGCGTCTCGTCACGCCGAAACCCGGGCGCTTCCGAACTGGGCCATGTCCGGGCGGGGCGCCCCGCTTCGCCGCGTACCTTCATCGCCGCCGCGCGCCGCACCCGCGCACGCCGTAACTGCCATAACCGGACGCCTCCGCGGCCGGCCGCGCGCGCTGCGCGATCGCAAGGCGCCCGCAGGGGACCGCCCGCACTCGCTCGCCCGCCACCGCCACCACCACCCCCTGCCCCGTGCTTCTGGGCGGGCGCGAGAGCTCGGGATCGCCTACACGCCACGCGGCGCGGCGCGCGAATAGAGCAACCCCCTGTTCTTCCGCTTGAACGCTTCATGAAGACAAGGCGCTTCCGTCGGTGCCCGGCGCTTTGCTGAGCTGTATCGTACACTGTAGCGCACTGTAGGGCACTGTATTGCGCTTCCGTCTGTGCCAGGCGCGCTGTACAGTTATATATATACAATACTGTATGTGCTGTATGTGCTGTATGTGCTGTATGTGCCGAATGGGCTGTGGGTACTGTAATGCAGCTGTTCCGCACGGACAGCACGCCAAACGCCGTGGGCGAACTGGCGGTTAGCTTCCCCTCCCCCCCTGCCCCCCTGCCCCCTCCCGCTTCCGCCGCGGATGCAAGTTGCTGTTTCTGTTTGCGGGGCGGCGCACGGAAGGAACGGTGCGTTCGGCGGACGGACGGTAGATGGATGTACTGGCGACGCGGCGGGCCGGGGCGGGGCCGATCGTTGACACGTCTTCGATGGGGCGGGCCGCGGGCGTCCAGCGCGGAATGTACGCGCGGCAGAATCTATAATTTTTTGATGCCTTGCCCACCGGTGCGCGCTCGGCCTGCCGTGCCGCGCATCGGTGGCAATCTTCGCCTACGCCCGGCTGAAGGGTCACCGCCCGCTCTCAGCTCGGAAGAGAAGAGGCTCGGCCCAAGCCACCCTTGTACGGTGTGCCCGCCGTTTATTGACGGCGGGGGGCGGTAGTAATGAGACTCGACGCTTCGAGTAATGAATGTGAGACTCGACGCTTCGAGTAATGAGACTCGACGCTTCGCTCGAGGGCGGGGCGGGGGGGCGGGGCGGGGAGACTCGGTTTGAGGCGGAGGCTGAGGCTGAGAGGGAGTTACGTATAACGTCCACATGTATGTACTGTACAGTATGTCATGTCTCGTCCCGCGGCGGAGAAAACGGTGATGGATCGAGGCACATGGAGGTTGCATCAACGGTTTTGGAAGCGGCTTGCAAGTGGCCAGCATCCAAGCCGAGCCGGGGGAGCAAGAGCAAGAGCAAGTGCGCGGGCGCGGGCGCGGGCGCGGGCGCGGCGGTGTACACGTGGGCGTGGAATTCGAGCCCCGGGCTCCCGAGCGCGCCAGCGAGGCGCTGAGCCACAGCGAGCGCAGTCGCCGCGGTAAACGGAGAGGAGCTCGCTCGCGACCTGAGATAGGCTCGGCGAGGTGGCGGTGCCGTACGTGGTTTTATCGTGTGCCGCCGCAAACGAGTTTCGCAGAGAAATGGAAAAATGCTCCGTCCTCCGAAAGCGGAGCGGCGCCCCATGGGGTGAGCCCCGGTTGGAGGGGACATGAGTCGGCGTGCACGCCGCGGATATGGCGCGCGGCCGTGCGCTGTACTGACGCCGCGCGAGCGCATTGCGTGTGCCGCCCGGCGCCAGATACCACGCGCTGTACGTGCCGTGCGCACTGCCCCGCACCGCGCACGCACACGCGCACACACACCCGCGCGGCAGAAGAAGCGGGGCGCGGGCTTGCAAGCCGCGCCCGCCAGCTGGCCGTTTGCATCTCCGCCGCACGAAACGGCCGAAGAAGAAAAAAAAAAAAAGTAGGCGCGAGTGCGAACGCCCGCTCGTGTGCATCCCGCGCGCGCCCAGGATGCAGCCGCACGCCCTCACGCGCGCCCGGCCCCCCTTCGTATGTGAAGCCGGGGCGCCGACTTGTAGCTGTATCCCCCTCGCGCTACCAGATGGAGACGCACCCCGGTGCGCGTAATCTCCTCTGGCATGCAGCGGGCGAGGGCCGTCCCCCGCGTCAAGGTTTCCCGAAACGATCGGGTGGGGGCGCACGCTTCGCCCCCCGTGGAGGTGGGTACCGTCGTAACGAGGTCGATCGTCGGGATCGACCCCCCT